AGATCTTGCTTCCTCATAGGAAATCTTGTGAACAAAATTTCTACATTATGTAAAACTTACGTACACCATTTCTTGATGAAACTTAGCAGTTCAGGTTACACGGCCATATTCCTGTTTCTTATTTACCTTTAAGCATGTAATGATGCTCTGTGGTAAGCACTGTAACAGCATCTGAGGCTGCAGAGATAAAAGATAGCTCTGCAGGAGAAAGATGAGGTTTTCTGCTCCCCTAAGGATTTACAGCCTCGGAAACCCTGGACAACAGCCACCACCACCACCGTACCACTTGTCTTAAGACGCTCAGAATCTAGAAAGGCTTCAGACTTGTTGTTGTTGTTGTGAAGTGCCATCGAGTCAGTTCCAACCTACAGCGACCCTGTATAGGGTTTCCGAGGAGCAGCTGGTGAGCTTGAACCACCAACCTTGCAGTTCAAATAGCTTTGCAGTCTGGTGCATTAACCCATAGCACCACACTAGGACTCCTTCAGACATGTAAACAGACAATAAAAACCGACCACAGTGTGGAGCAGTAGGGTCAGCACTGGACTGTGAACCACAGGGTCAGCAGTTCAAACCCACCAGATGTTCCTTGAAAACTCTATACACGGTCGCTATGAGTTGGAAGCGACTCATCGACACTTAACAGCCACAACAACAAATGCAGGAGAACAACAATGGTGAGATGGGTCTGAAGTAGGAGGCTCAGGGATCCCTTCAGGAAGAAGGGTACCTGAACTTGCTTTGGATGTGAACGGCTGGCTACTCAGGTATACAAGCACTGAGGGCAGGTGGTCCTTCTGAGGACACGTCAGTGGCTGAGTGTGACTGCAGCAGTTGGATGAACTGTGCCAGGGGAGCTGACAGTCAGACAACAGTGAGGTGGGTGAGGCATGCAGAGAATCCATCAAGAAAAGCCTGCTTCCCTGAGGCTGATGGGAGGGAGGCAGAGTTGGGTTTCAGGGAGTCACTGGGGCAGCAGTGGAACTGAGAAGTGTAATTGGAAGCAGAAAGCCCAATTTGGAGGCATCATGTAATCCAGATGAGAAGGAAATTCAGAGACAATTAAGTCAGCATCAAGCTCACACACACAAGACAAGACAAGGCTAGTCCCTGACAGCCTCCAGGGGAGAGCCAGCAGCTGTCCTACAGAAGCTTCTAGAAGGTTTCCATCCTCTCATGTTCCTGGAGCACCAAAGGACCCTCTGTCCAGACTCAGATTAGCTGTGGTTCCAGCATCTGCCTACATGGCCTATTCGGATACGTGCAGGGGCGCCATGGCAGGACCACAGTGGGAGTGGATTTAGGGGGAACAAAAGAATGAATAAAAGAGAAAAATAACAGAACAAACAAGTTGGTGGGTGGATGGAGAAGTCAAGAGAAACACCTACGTTTTTGTCTGGAGCAAATGCGTAGGTGAAGAACCATTCATAGAGAGAGGTTATGTGAGTGTTACTGGAAAGGATCTGTTTGGGGGTGAGGGGAATGATAAGATGATGATGACTTATGGATAACAGGTCAACTTGAAGTGCACTCTCATGACATCCAAAGAACAAAATGAGTTTGAGGACTAAGATGCACCTGACCCAAGCCATGGTATTTCCAGTAACCTCAGATGCATGCAAAAGCTGCACAGTGAATAAGGAAAACCGTAGAAGGACTGATGCTTTTGAGTTATGGAGTTGGAAGAGAATATTAATAGTGCCATGGGCTGCCAAATGAACAAACAGATCTGTGTTGGAAGAAGTACAGCTAAGGTGCTCCTTGGAGGCCAGGATGGCAAGACTTCGTCTCTCATACTTCGGACATATTATCAGGAGGGACCAGTCACTGGAGAAGGTAAAGTGGAGGGCAAGAAAAAGAGGTAGACCTGCAATGAGCTGGAAGAACGACAATGTGGCAGCAGCAATGGGTTCAAATGCAGCAATGATTGTGTGATTGGCACAAGGTCGGGCAATGTTTCTATTTGCATAGGGTCAGTATGATGGCACATACCAACAACAGCAATTGCTCCACAGGAGGAAGATGAGGCTGTCTGCACCTGTCAAGGTTTACATTTTCGGAAACCCTAGAGAAGCGTCCCACAGGGTCACGATGAGAGAACAGCCCCATAGGGTCACTATGAGGGAACAGTCCCACAGGGTCACTATGAG